CTCAGTGTTTGCTGGAATGTTGCGTTGAGTAAAATGAAAATAATTCTTTTCTCCTGCGCAAATGCGCACATAATCTAAGGTTCTAGGTAAACAACAGTCACCTTCATGGGTTGGAGGAACAGCAACTTGAACCTGAGGAGTAGGTTGAGGCGGACCACTCACTTCAAAACCGGGTGGAAGTGATGGTGGCAACTAGAATAATGCAAAAAAAAAAAAAAAATCAAGAACCTGTATGGGGAAAAAGAACAAAGAGAATTTACCTGTCCTGCTGCCACCATCTTACTGTGCGCCTCATGCTTAGCGCGTTGTTCCAGATATCTAAGCTGATCCATATGGAAAGCTTGTCTTTCGAGAATGAGTTGTTGACGTTGGTATTCCAGCTTAAGCAAAGGAGATATTTTAAAACGCGCTACATTAGTATTTACGGATTAAAAACAATATAGTATTTTTAAAAGAAGGAGAAACTTACAGCTTCTCTTTCCTTGTCCATGATCTGTTCCAGTTCGTCAAAGTGCCGCAGTTTCATTTCCAACTTCTTCATCTGCGTTTCCACCAGCTGAGCAACTAAGGACTTTATTCGACGCTCTTCAATAGTGGCGAGGTGCTGAAAATTTTGAAGGATACATCAACTCTTTCCTGAAATCCAAATAGAAAGCTTTCTCACCTTAGCCTTCACAGCAGCAGCAGCGAGAGCAGCCGCAGCAGCAGCTTGGACATTTTCACTCACGGCCACTTTGGCAGCATGTTCAACAGCAGCATCATCAGGCTTCTTTGCAGGTTCATCTGTCTCCATTTTCTCTCCTTCTTCCTTTTCTTTTTTATCATCGGTTGCAATCCCAGACTTGGCCAGACCAACAGTACCATCGAGCACGCCAGTCTTTTCCTCATGTGCTTGTACGTTACGTGCATGGGCCTCCACCATTAGCGCCGGTACCTGCACGCGCAACATGGACTAAGTAAACACCGAATAAATAGACTCTAAACTCACCTCATCTTTAATCTTGGCAAACTCCTCGATCGCTGCCTTGGTGGCCGCCTGAGCAACCTTAGGATCTACAACGGAGGCTAAAAACGCAACGGTAGACATCACCGGGTTACCGGACTGCGAGAAAGGGATCGGCTGGAAAGCAAGCGGTCCTAAAATTAGTTATTTCACCTCCGACATGAACTTAATCATACCGCAAAACAACAGAATCTACTGAAAATAGAAACAAGAAACAGTCGCAGTCGTAAAACCAAGTCTTGACATACCTAAGATAGAATCACCACTTCCTGGACCGTGTGCGTCATCCGAGCCAAGGTATGGGTCTTGGATGGGCAGTTGCAAAAACCGTAAAATACACTCGTCTTGCGTTCGCGATCCAACATGGTCCGAAACCTGATTTACATAAGCAATGTAGAACATAAATCCAATTTTCACTGAGATTATTTTCCAAGAATTGCTATATCGCGTTACCACTACATGATTCTCTGGCTGGGTTTTCAATGAAAAGGTTCCAAAACGTTGCACCAATACGTCTACCCTCTCTGCCCATAAAGTACTTTTATAAAACATAATGATGCTAAGGGTGATCATCTGTCGTTAAGACACTCTCTAATGACCTACTACAAAAATAAAAGAATAAGAAAAAGAAAAGCCAC